CTGCACTGTCTGTGCCCATGGAAAGTGGACTTCTGACAGATGCAGGCCAGATTGCACAAAATGGAGGTATATGTGCAATTCCGGGACAATTGCATAAAAATTTGGGCTTTTTGAGCTCAGTAAAGTGCAGACAGTTGCAATACAGTCATACTAAGAATTTCAGGCCCTATGGGGCCCATATTCCCAAGTTTTAGCAAAAATAGCAACCGTGTCTATCATTTTGAAACACCCAAAATTTGGAAAATCTTTTGTGTAAAGTGCAATTACAGTGCAATGAGAAAATTTATTTGTAGGTGTAGGTTTTCAAACCTCCTCTTTCAACCTGTTAAGGTTTCGTATCCGTCAACTGAACCCCGACACCGCAATTGAAAATTTTGTAGGCGTGTCTATCATTTTGAAATGGAGTGTATGGGTTCTTTCTGCAAAGCGCGCTAGAAATCTCGCATGTTCTTAAAAAAAATTAATCCACGTATGCCATAACGATCATAAAAGCTTGCCTATTCGCACTCCAACCACTTTTGCTGTGAATTTGGAACCGTTATAGGTCAATTCACATTGCTTGGCTGGTAATAAAAACCCCTACAACGTACTATTCTTTAAAATTCGGACTTTTTCAGGCCATGGGAAAAGAATTTGGTGAAATACTCAAAATTTTGGGAACATACTCAAAATTGAGAGTGGGAATTTCATTCAGACAATTAATTTGTAAGCTCCTTATATAAGGAGCTTGTTCTTTCAAAAAAGAATTAAGATCCCAATTTATTTCCTGGTCCGTGTTTCGAAGGCCAGGGATGAAGCTTTAGCCTGATTATAATAGAATTCCCAGGCTTTTCTCGCCAAAATTTCTCTGGACAGTCTTTGTTTCTTTGCACGCTTGCGACAAAATAACAATAGATTTGTGATGACGCTTTAGTTTTTTGAATTTTTCCCATAACCTGTCATCATTTTGCCCTTGAAAAGAGATACTTTAAAAAGTAAAAATTTCGTTGATCAAAGCCTGTAGATTAGGCAAGACACACTGGATAGAATTACTAATAAGCTTGTCAGTTTTAATCAGATTTGCGACATTCCGTAATGAAATTACTCACAGTATCGAGAGATGACGCCAGAGTTGGTTGGTTTGAAATGGAAATTAAAATTCAAACGGTATTTTTGGCGAAATGCAAAGAATTCGTATGATGTGAATGCCAAAGATGCTAGCAGGGAGGGTTCTCAAAACAAAAAAGAGATAGGACTTTGAGTGAGGCGATAGGATAAAGGCTTGAAGCCAGACGTCCAGATTTTTTAAAATTTTGCATAAATGCTTTTGGAAGAGCGCAGATCATTCCTTCGAAAATCGCGCTTTGCAGGAAAAGCCCGGAAGTTTATAAGACGCAGTGTGGTCTAAAGAAAAAAAGTTTTTCTTTGGCCGTATCCCTAGTAAACAAAAAATATTTTGTTTTGAACTAGAGGTGGCAATCGGGCCGGCCCTGGGCTTTCTCAAATTTGCTCAGGCCCGGCCCTGTTCGGCCCGCTACTGCAAAAAGGTTGGATAAAACTCTATGCACTCTCTACTGGAACTTTTTATGCTTTCCAGCGGGGTTTTACGTCTATATGAGTGGAATTAAAACGTCTAGTCGGCTGAATGGAACAGCCGAACAGGTACCTAAAACCTAGCCAAAAAGTTGGATTGTGTCGATTTTTTTTTATCCTATAGGAAGTTAGCTATGTAAAAATATGGACGTTATGAGGCTACATGTTTAATCAAAAACTGCGTAGATGCGTAATCAAATTACAGTGAAATGTTTAAGCTTATCATCAAAAATTCGAAGATTTGCCCGCTCCTTGCATATTTGGGTGGGATTTTACATATACATAATCAGGGATTTTAAAGAGTTTGAAAAGGTGGGAAAACAGTATATAAGTCAAAAAGGTTTAATTTAATATCCATCCATCAATTCTGCTAAGCATTTGTGCTTTATTTTGCTGGTTCAGTATTAATTTTTTTTTATTTATCCACCTTCCGGGCCGGGCCGAGCCGAAAGTCTCGGCCCGGCCGACGGGCCGAAGCGGTCAGGCCGGCCCTGGGCTTTTTCAAATCTGCTCAGGCCCGGCCCGGCCCGGCCCAATCACCGGGCCCGGCCGGGCCGAGCCGGGCCGGCCCAGCCCGATTGCCACCTCTAGTTTTGAACAACACTCCTTACCAATCGCAATAAAGCCGATTTTTTTTTGCATAGACGCTATCAAGAGTGTGCCAAATTTATACTAACTTTTGACGTAGGAATCTTGGTTATTCGTCAAGCTAGAAATCTCATAGGCATTTTAAAAGCATTTAATGCAAGTTCGTACGTACAGTAGTTGACAGCGAATTGTCAATTTTTTTATTTCGTGTGTAACTTCACTCAGACTCAACAGAATTTGATGAGACCAAGAGCGTTTAAGAGGCTGGGAGACACGCTTCAACCTTATGAAATTTTTTTATTTCATATCGGCCACAGGCGTGGTAAAAATTTCAAAACAAATTTTTTTGGGGGACAACGAATTGTCAATTTTTACATTTTGAGGCATAAGATCTCAATAAACCAGCATATAAAGACTAGAATGGATAGTAATCAGTTGCCAGCAATCATAGAACGGCATACAACGGGTTTCAGCCATTAGTATAATCTCCTTCGCTTTCTATAGGTCGGGCACTTGGGGGTGGACCATGTACAATATAATGTCAGCCTGGGGGCTTCCTAGGCCGAAATTATCTTATATTCCGGTTTTTTATGGAAGATTATTGCATATATTTAATACACTTGCACCGGATTACAACTTGGAGGGGCTACGGGTCAAAAATTCGTCAGATAATATTATTTTTGGTCATTTAAACTCTGTGTTTCGCCCAAAAATCGATAATTTTTTTGCCGACAGGGGGCATAGGTTCATTTAATCCTCCTTTACGGCCAAACTAACGACATTCTACAAATTATTTCATTACCTGTCTCGACGCCCTGAAATTTCCGGGTGAGATTCTGACGGTCCAATTAATTCTTGTGCCACACTAGGGTGGTGAGTATATTAATCATTTTATTGCGCGTCTTCTGCGTTTTTAAACGTTAAAACTAATATTTTTAATGCTTGTAAAAATCTCTAATATGCTAATAAAATGTCTTGGAAGTTGCAGGCTTGAAGAAATAAGAATTTTTCTGGGTGTTTCAAACACGACGTGAAAATTCATGTAAATTCAAATATTTCCCTCTGCATACCTCTTCCATGAGTGCTGGTACTGACATGTGAAAGGCACTGAATATTTGTCTTTTAGTGTAGTTTGTTTTCAAATATAGAAGGTTTCTCCAACGATCTTCATGCGCGGCATTTTTTGATTTTTGATACTTTGACCAACAGTATGAAAGGCCATGATTAACATATTCGAGGTAACAAGGCGCAAGTGTAACCCGTTAGGTGTAATTTTTTGACTTGCCCTAGCGTAGTAAGATGTAACCGCCCATAAAAAACCGGAATATAAGATAATTTCGGCCTAGGAAGCCCCCAGGCTGACATTATATTGTACATGGTCCACCCCCAAGTGCCCGACCTATAGAAAGCGAAGGAGATTATACTAATGGCTGAAACCCGTTGTATGCTGTTCTATGATTGCTGGCAACTGATTACACTCCATTCTAGTCTTTATATGCTGGTTTATTGAGATCTTATGCCTCAAAATGTAAAAATTGACAATTCGTTGTCCCCCAAAAAATTTTGTTTTGAAATTTTTACCACGCCTGTGGCTGATATAAAATAAAACAATTTCATAAGGTTGAAGCGTGTCTCCCAGCCTCTTAAACGCTCTTGGTCTCATCAAATTCTGTTGAGTCTGAGTGAAGTTACACACGAAATAAAAAAATTGACAATTCGTTGTCAACTACTGTAGTTTCATTTAGATTTGAGCGCCTCACTTTGATCACTGCACCTATAAATCCATCAAACACTGAGCTCCATCAACTCGTCACAAAACAAAGGAACAAAAGTATCCCATTAACGCCAGACAAACAAGCTTATGCTTGCCCCAACCTGATCCATTTAGCGCCTTAAATCCTGTGCATGAGGAAACCAGGAAGCGGAAATGGATTCGGCTGAAACCCAATTTACAACGCCACCCGTGACGATGACATTCAGAAGAGAGGGCCTTAACAAGTTTAGCTATTACAGAGAATACACACAGACAGCGGTGATCCGGAACTAAACCTATCTTGAAAAAAAAGAGTACAAGTTTGGGTTTGGCGGCGATACGAAGCAAAAGAATGCCGAGAAACGGAGAATTGGCAGAGAAAATCAGTCTTTTCTGGGAATAGGCGTAAAGCGTGGACCGTCTGGCCGACTCTTCACATTTTTTTGCAAAAGATTGCATAGGATCTCGGCGGCTGCAGGTGCAAATGTAATCTTAAAAAGGTTTATGTGTGGCATGCATAGCTTATATGTGAAAAATTTGAAGAAAATTGATCTCTGTTTATAAAATATCGCAAAATTTTCTTCGAAAACGGCCAAATTTGGCCAAAAAAGTTGTTTTTCTTTTAGCAGTCTCTAACGCGTTATGAAAAGGAACTCGCGCAGACAAGTCATTTGGAATAAGGCTTAAATTGAGGAAATAAGCGTGAGAACGGCCCCAATTACTGTGCCTCTTACTCCTATTTCCAAAAGGTCGAAAAGATCAGCACGATGATGAGTAAACGGGCAACTGCAAACGAAATGATAAATTAGGATATTCTGAAGGAAATAAAAATGAGTTAATAGAAAAATTTTGTGATTAACTTTGCCGAGGCTTGGGAAAATGTTGACGAAAATTTCTGAAGGCAATTTTGAGACCTCTGGCTTGCTCTTTGCAGACAAAACAAGCAAGAATTTAGTGTAAAATTACATTCAAAAATTTTTTAAAGTTGGTTTTCAAAATGAACTTTCGAAGAAGCTAAAGTAAAAATTTTGATTTGTCGGTCGTTTTTCGAAAACCATTCATTTTTTTAAAAACGACGGCTTCCGTAATGTTGTGTATGTTTCTACTCCCTTTGCTCTTCATTTCCGTGGATTCACATGGATTCCATGGATCGGAAAGGTGTAAAGTAGGCTATACTTGAGAAAAATACTGCCAAAAATTTTTCAATTTGTATATTTGGTTTGTTTTCAGCAATGCATTCCCGGCCTGAAATCGAGCCGCATCCTGGCCCAAACTCTTCGTCGTTACAATCGACTCGCCCCGGATATCTGCAACATGGAATTGCTGCTGATCGACGATTCTGTTGAAGACGGAGACGTAAGTAACTGAACATATATTTTTAAGGGTTTTCGTAAAATTTTGGCAAAAACCACAAAATCCAAAAATCTAAATTTAAAGACATCAAAAAATTTAATCAAAAGAATTTTCGTTTTTAGTCTGTTCCCGACTTCTACGCCTATCACAGCGACGCCGACTTGATCGGATGGTCGAAAGATTTGGTGGACAATCCGGCTAAACGACATGTTGCATTGCTCTCCTACAAGGATCACAGATTTCTCCTGCATGAGAAATTTATACTGCAAGGCGTGGAGGAGATGCCGCAGAAATATGGTATGTTAAAGAGAGGATGTTTATCCTGTGCTTTGAAGAAACTATTGAGATTTTTTAGACCAAAAGCAGTAAAAATTTGCAATTATTTCGCTGATTTTCGGCATTTCAGAATGGCGTCATATCACCTTTAATAATGTGCAGGGATTTGTTATCGTTGTGAAGGCCGCGGAGACAATTCATCTGTTCACCTGCGGAGTCGTGGACCTTGAATTTGTTTACAATAATCTGTATTCGTTCTGCGAACATTTCAAAGCCAGATATAAGAGCCGAGGAATTCCGACTTCAATCGATGTAAGGAAAAAGCTGCATTCGTAGTTGAAAAAACAATCGTTTTTTTAGATTACTGAAGAAAATAAATTGAAAATTTTTCACGGAGATGACGTGCAGGTATGGAACTACAAAAGAGCGGAGAAATTTTACAAGTCCCTTGTTCCTGAATCCCCACCTTCAAAGAAGGGCTTCGCGTTTGATGGAGGACACCTTGGGGAGCGGTAAGTTAACAAAATTTTCGAAATTCACAAAAGTTTTTAACAAAATTCACTAAAAAATGAGGAAAACTTTTGGTACACCTCCGATCTTTTTCATGTTCGGCGCATTGCTTCAGAATATGCCACATATCAATTTTTGAATATTTTGGCGCATAATTGAGACTCACAGCTAGAGAATTACGCAAGCTTTTTTCCGAGAGAGCATACAAAGTTAGGAGAGAAGCCAGAGAATTTTTTTTCGCTATTTCTCTGAGTTTCGATCGGAAATTTCTTTTATGAGATTTATATTCTTAACTACTGACTTCTAGCTTTTTTTATTTCAGTATCTGCACGCCGAAATTAATTCAAGAGTACAAACCAAAATATCTGGAAGACTATCCGTTTGTGAATCCCAGCGAACGCATGATCCAAATTTCGGTAAGGATTTTACATCTTTTTGAGAATTTTTATAAAAAATTTTTTAAGATTTCTGCACGGTGCAAAAAGTTTTTTTGATTATTTTTTTCTCATTGACTCGCTTTTTTTAATTTTTAGCAAAGCTTTCGACTTTGTGAATTGGTTGGCAACTGCCCGAAACCATGTTTGCACGAAGAGACTTCACCAAGAGAGTAAGGCTTTTTGATACAAAAAATCACGATTTCGGTTTTTCCTCAAAAAGTATTATTTTTTTTCAGCAAAATCATCGACGTCATTGCTATGTTCCTCACGATCCTGCTCAGCATCATCACCAGCTGCCTAACTTTTGGCTATTGCTTTTTCTGCATCGGCGTCATTCCGCCCTTCTTCACCTACGTTTTCCTGGAAACCAAATCGCGGCGTCTGAGACGGGAGCTCGGGAAGGGAGGATTTTCGAGCATTTCGATCAACGAAGAAGAGGAAGAGGCCTACATGGAGCTCAAACAGAGACGGAGTCCGGAAGTCAAGTTCCCGATCGCGACCCCAAAACAAAGACAACGGCAAGAAAAGGGTGTCCATGTGAGCTCGAAGAAATCGGAAAATGTGAAAGGATTGGGAAAGAAGAAGGCCTTGGCAGATGAGAAGCCCAATAAGGAATCAAAAAAAGAGGAGAAAACACAAATGAAAACAGAAGTTAATGTTGTACATGAAATAGAGGTGAAACAAAGTGAAAAGTAAGTTGGAGAACACTCAAAGGGAGTTTGGAAAATAAGGATTGACTCGATTTTGGTTCAATTGAGCGTTTTTCCATTGGAAAAAAATTTCAAAACATAAGTTTTAGAAAGCTTGGTTTTAGTCATGTGTAATATAATTAATAGTAAAAATCAGAAATTACCACGACTCCGGAGCCGGCTCTCCAACTCTGAGCGGCTCCGAGCCGGGAGCCAGAGCCGGAGCCGGAAATTTTGGATGCGGTTCCGGCTCCCGAGCAAATGGCTTGAAAGATACTGCGGAGGATGTGTTGCGTACGACTTAGCTGCAAAAACGGTGGCTTCATGATCCCTGGGACTAATAACTTTTATTTTTGGAAAAAGATTTAAAAAAAAATTTTTTGCGCAGGAACCGGGATTCGGAGCCGGAGACCTTTTTAAATTTTGAACGGAGTCGGGAGCCGGAGCTCCAAATTTGGCCTCGGCTCCGGCTCTGGGAGCTAAGGGCCGGAGCCGAAATTTTGTCGTGACAATCTCTGGTAAAAATCTTTGTCGATGATTTTTGAGTCGAAAAAATAACAGGTAACCTAAAAGGATTAGACAGATTTATTCAATGAAAATTTGGAGGAATTTGACTGTTAACTTGAGCTATAATTTTGAATTTTCAGGAGCTTCACGATGCCCTCCTCTTACGGAATGGATAACACCCAGGGAGAAAGTGTCGAAGCCCATGACCTCACTACGACCACAGTCGAACAGGTCGATCATTTCACAACCCCCACTAAATACAGCGGAGTGGATCCTGCTCCTACAACCTCCAAATTTATTCCGAAGTCCTCAAAGTCCGCCAAATCCTCGAAGAAGAAAGATAAGAATAACAGCTCAAAATTTATTCCGAAGTCCGCAAAGTCCGCTAAGTCTTCACAGAAGAAAGATAAGAATAACAGCTCCAAATTTATTCCCAAGTCTGCAAAGTCCGCCAAGTCCTCAAAGAAGAAAAATAAGAGTAATGTGCAAGGAAATTAATGCATAAAGAAGGGGAAATAAACGAATTACACTTCTAACTTGATTTTTGAATTGCTCGAATTGTAATAAAATCAAGCCCAAATTAACAGTAAGAGCAAAATTTTGCAAGTCGGCCCTCCGCATTTTTCGTGCTCTCTCACAATAAAAATAAGCTTTGTCTTGGATATACATATTTCGGAGGCGGGTGCAAATTGCAAATGGGCAAAAACTTAATTTAGTCAGTATTTACGTGCAAAATATGCCTGGTGAAAGTCAATTTACGTTAATCTTCTACATTGACATGACATGACAAATATATGTGTATGTGGTATTAAAAAATGAAAAAAGTGTGTAAAAAAACTATTCTGGGGATAGTTCTCGAAAAATTAATTAGAACTTTTTTACTGTAACACACTTTTGCCGCACAAAATTTTAATTAGACCAAAAACCAAGAAAATTATTTTTGAATTTTTTGAAACCAATTTCCCACCCACAAATATAAAAAAAAACAAAAAATTTTGAAAATAAATTAAATTTCCGGCAAAAATAGAAAACAAATATTACGCCGGGTGTAATAACAAGTTGGCGTCAGGGAAATTGTAACGCTTGGGAAGTGTGTTTTTTGAGCGAATATTGGGTTAGGCAACAAATGAAAAATTCGAAAAAGGAACGAACAGGGCTGGATAAAAACAGAAACATGGGTATATTGACAAAATAGGATATGCACGGCTCAATTGCATCAATAAAAAATGCTTCAGAAACTTGAAAATATAAAAAAAATATAAAGGACTTTTTTAAAACGGATTTTTTTACAAAGTGAAGCATGGCCCGGACATTGTTGCGGTGACCATCACCGAATTTCTTCAAATTTGGCTCATAGAAGACCCACAGGGCGTACATCGAAAGAGTCAAACGTTTTTGCGAAATTTGCATTATTCGAGGATTACTGTAACATTTTGTGTTTTGTAAAGTGTCTATTGTGATGGGCTGAGGGATGGAGCGTTGCGGATGAAACTTACCGACCGGATGTTTTCGACCATGGCCAACATTTTCCTAATTGAAATGTTTTTTGTATCTCTTCATCTTTTGGTAGTACCGTAACCCTCAACATACCATATCGATTACTGCCAAAAATTGGGAAAAGTGTAACCAGTTTTTAAGCTTGATTATAAAGGTTGGACACACTCTCCGTAAAATAAGACCAAAAAATCCAAAATAAAAATATAAGTTTTTGAGATATACGCGTTCAAAGTTGCTATGTTCGGTTACTGTAAGACCAAAATGGAGATGATGAATTTTCAAACGGTACCATTGATTGCCACGCCTCACCCATTAATAGACTAGCCTGAGAAAAATATTTTCAGATCAAAAAATAAATATTTGAGGCTTTATTTTAGGCTTTATACGATGGTTACTGTAGTTTCTAACTTTTGTCAATTTCGCTAACCATTTTTTTCAAATGACGCATTTAGACCAGCTATCCCATTGAGAAATGTGTGTACAACGTAAAAATCAAAAAATCAAGGTTACAGTACTATCAATTCTTGAAATAAAAGGAGATTACGGTAGCCGTATCCGCTTTTTTCGCTGTTTGGCCGCGGCATTCTTTGGAGATGCAAGTGTAACCAAATTTGAGACCGGAAATATCTTCAGAATATACAGGGGAGTATTTTAGCAAAAAATTGCAAAAATAAAAATATAAGTTTTTGAGAAAATCCGGGATTACGGTCATTTTGGGGGGTTTTTGGGCTGTTTGGTCGCGGCATTCTTTGGAGATGCTAGTGTAACCAAATTTGAGGCCGGAAATATCTTCAGAATATACAGGGGAGTATTTTAGCAAAAAATTGCAAAAATAAAAATATAAGTTTTTGAGAAAATCCGGGATTACGGTCATTTTGGGGGTTTTTGGGCTGTTTGGTCGCGGCATTCTTTGGAGATGCTAGTGTAACCAAATTTGAGGCCGGAAATATCTTCAGAATATACAGGGGAGTATTTTAGCAAAAAATTGCAAAAATAAAAATATAAGTTTTTGAGAAAATCCGGGATTACGGTCATTTTGGGGGTTTTTGGGCTGTTTGGTCGCGGCATTCTTTGGAGATGCTAGTGTAACCAAATTTGAGGCCGGAAATATCTTCAGAATATACAGGGGAGTATTTTAGCAAAAAATTGCAAAAATAAAAATATAAGTTTTTGAGAAAATCCGGGATTACGGTCATTTTGGGGGGTTTTTGGGCTGTTTGGTCGCGGCATTCTTTGGAGATGCTAGTGTAACCAAATTTGAGACTAGAAATTCACTCAGAATGGATAGAGGAGTATCTTAGCAAAAAATCGCAAAAATAAAAATATAAGTTTTTGAGAAAATCCCGGATTACGGTAATTTCGGACAGGAAATCCCCTAAAATCACCGTAATTTCGAAATTTCTCAAAAACTTATAATTTTATTTTCGGGATTTTTTGCATAGGTACTTCCCAAGGCAGCGGGAATTTGTTTCCGGTCGCAAATTTGGTTACACTAGCATCTCCAAAGAATGCCGCGACCAAACAGCCCAAAAACCCCCCAAAATGACCGTAATCCCGGATTTTCTCAAAAACTTATATTTTTATTTTTGCAATTTTTTGCTAAAATACTCCCCTGTATATTCTGAAGATATTTCCGGCCTCAAATTTGGTTACACTAGCATCTCCAAAGAATGCCGCGACCAAACAGCCCAAAAACCCCCCAAAATGACCGTAATCCCGGATTTTCTCAAAAACTTATATTTTTATTTTTGCAATTTTTTGCTAAAATACTCCCCTGTATATTCTGAAGATATTTCCGGCCTCAAATTTGGTTACACTAGCATCTCCAAAGAATGCCGCGACCAAACAGCCCAAAAACCCCCCAAAATGACCGTAATCCCGGATTTTCTCAAAAACTTATATTTTTATTTTTGCAATTTTTTGCTAAAATACTCCCCTGTATATTCTGAAGATATTTCCGGCCTCAAATTTGGTTACACTAGCATCTCCAAAGAATGCCGCGACCAAACAGCCCAAAAACCCCCAAAATGACCGTAATCCCGGATTTTCTCAAAAACTTATATTTTTATTTTTGCAATTTTTTGCTAAAATACTCCCCTGTATATTCTGAAGATATTTCCGGTCTCAAATTTGGTTACACTTGCATCTCCAAAGAATGCCGCGGCCAAACAGCGAAAAAAGCGGATACGGCTACCGTAATCTCCTTTTATTTCAAGAATTGATAGTACTGTAACCTTGATTTTTTGATTTTTACGTTGTACACACATTTCTCAATGGGATAGCTGGTCTAAATGCGTCATTTGAAAAAAATGGTTAGCGAAATTGACAAAAGTTAGAAACTACAGTAACCATCGTATAAAGCCTAAAATAAAGCCTCAAATATTTATTTTTTGATCTGAAAATATTTTTCTCAGGCTAGTCTATTAATGGGTGAGGCGTGGCAATCAATGGTACCGTTTGAAAATTCATCATCTCCATTTTGGTCTTACAGTAACCGAACATAGCAACTTTGAACGCGTATATCTCAAAAACTTATATTTTTATTTTGGATTTTTTGGTCTTATTTTACGGAGAGTGTGTCCAACCTTTATAATCAAGCTTAAAAACTGGTTACACTTTTCCCAATTTTTGGCAGTAATGGATATGGTATGTTGAGGGTTACGGTACTACCAAAAGATGAAGAGATACAAAAAACATTTCAATTAGGAAAATGTTGGCCGTGGTCGAAAACAGTCACACAAAAAGTTTTGGACTCATAGAACCATCACCCGGCCCACAACCAACGCCACTTTATAAAATACAAAATGTTACAGTAATCCCGGAATGGATGAAATTTCGCGAAACCCTTCTTCGCTTTTCATCAGCATGCCCAGGCCCTTCTACTGGCCTAGTTTCAAGAAATTTGGTGATGGTCGTTGCAACAATGTCTGGGCCCCGTGGAGGGAAGCTTCAGTTTGTAAAAAACTCTGTTTTAATCATCATGATTAATATAATGGCTAAAATAGGGTTACAAACCCAGTCAAAATAAAAACTCAAACTAATAAACACTTTTTAATCCTTAATAAAGCCCTTCAGGTCAAATTAAAGCATTTCAAAAATTCGAAACATTAAATTTCCTCCTTTTTTGGCATTCTGTTCTAATGGCAGGAAATGCCTTTATTTAGTCGGAAATCAAAAGTAAAGTTGGTAAAAAAGGCTCCATTCTCACAATATTTTTTACTAGATGTCAATCTCCAGACTGTATATATTTTGATGCCAAATATATTATGTATCACCGTCTAATCCCATTTTTCTCTCAAAAAATCTCCAAATCTTTAAATCCCCAAAAGGAACAGGAACAAGATTCTCTGATCCCGGCTCCACGATTGACGACTTCTCTTAGCCTACCATAAACCACATTTCGAGCCTGTAAAACTATACTTTTTTAGTTGATTTCCCCTCAAATTTTATGAAACTTTGCCTCAAGAAAAGAAAAAGCGGTGCACTTGAACGGAAAGTGTAATAAATTCGTCAAAAGTAACATGTTTGCGTCAAAATTAAAATAGAAAATGCAACACTCGGGCATTTCAAACCGGGACTAAGTGTTCAAAATGCCTCAGGGGATAGGTTTGAGGGTGGGCGACCTTTTATACGAGCGAAAGTTTTTTGAAAAGTTGCAAAATTTTTCCAGTTTTTGTTTCAATCTGAAAATGGATGTTTGGAACTCTCACGCCCCTGAACTTGTTAATTTTAGGCTCTTTTAAAGACTGAATCCAATTCCAAATGAGTTCAGTGCATTTGGCTTTAAAGGCCGTTCTTTTTAATGAATATTTAGGCCAAACCCTTTGAAGGGGACCGAATTTTCGCGCAAATGAACTCAATTTTCGTGACCTTTGGGCGTCATGGAAATTGCACTCTAGGCAGCAATCTAGAGAATTGAAAATTTTGAGCAATGTTTGGGATGAAAAAGAATCTTGAACTATCTTGAGCCCGAGTAATGCAATTTTATATGTATTGGGTGG